GCGCACTGCCAGTAGGAGGTAATGGTAATGCATGGAGGAAAACGGTAATAACGCAGAAAAGCAGGAGAGGCGGTTGCAGTGATTTAATATAACTGAGTTACAGGAAGTGAATATTATTAGCATTCGCTCACGGTGGACCTATGCACGTACATTTATCTTTCTCATTTCTTGTATATTCGTTCGATGTACATATACTGTAGCTCGATACGCGTACAGGGAAATGTGTACTCCAAGTTTACTCAAATACGTACGTGCACACCTGTATACGTGTTATACGCATGTGTGTACGAGACAGGGTGTGCAAGTACGTGCAAAAAAACAAGTGTACAACAGGGAGGACTACAGCGGGTCAGCAAGAAAGGAAATAATCACTCTTCGTGTGCGTTTAACGCGTCAAGGAACGCGTATGCATACGACGTATGCGTGTGACGGTACACGACACGTAATATGTGTGATGTAACGTACACAGTGCCTGAAATGCACGTGCGATTACGGCGCGCTTATTTGTGCGCCGAACGAGTTTCGTTGATGCAACGAAATCGCTTCGCGGTAACCACCATTTTACCGTGCCTTTTATCTCGTGAATAACGACCCCATTGCGGGAAGAATCGCCATACTCATGAGGGAATGTAACAGTCTATAGTCTACACTCTACACTCTACACTCTACACTCCACGGTCTACAGTCTACAGTCTACAGTCTACAGTCTACACAAATAGACAGTTCTGTCGCGTTTAAATATTAGGTCTTTGGGTGCCGGTAAATGACACGAATTGTTGTATACGCAAAGACAATTCGAGTAAAGAATATCGAATTGGTCAGCGACTTGAAAATTATAGGTATCAGCAAAAATGTATTTTAAGAGTGAAACTTCGATATTCGATGGAGAAAATATTTTAGCATCAAAGTATTTTATTTAAGAAGATAACCGTATTGAATTGTTCTTTTTCAGAAGTAAATAAATAAATCAAAAATTTGTAAAAAAATTTAACTTTGTTACATATGCTTATACGTTTTTAACATCAAAGAATTCGCATTAATCACGAGGCACTGCTCCTGCACCAGGAAGTCAGGGTGTACAAGTTCGATCAGATACACACGGAACAGCCGATCTTAATCAATTTCCCTTAATTTTACCGTTGCATGACCACTTGGTACTGTATACTGTATACCTACATAGTAGGCAGTTCAATGGCGTTGCACTGCCAACGCTAACACGACTCTCTTTCTCCTTCTAAAAAGGTCTCTTCTACCTCTACCGTCATTAGCATTGCCATTAGCTAAGTCTTCTACACTGCAAAAAATCTTATCCCTAGTTACTCCGCTACAAACTACCGATTAACATATCATTTAATTATCGGCCGAATTAAGAAAAGAACAACTAAAAACAGGTATCAAATAAATCTTTAATGACCCTTGAAATTATGCAACATTTTCTCTCCTGTTTAGTTGAGAAACCAATTACTTTAAGTTTACGTAACACAATTTTTCCTTACCTCAATGCCAAACCGCAATACTCTATTTAACTAAATTGATTTACTCGAATAGCAATACATCAGAGTTTCCTTAACGTATTGCGAAGAAGAGTGTGCTGCACGCAGCGCTAGACAAAGCACCGAATAGCAAATGGATTGTTAGTTTCCTGGCTGACGACTTGAGAGCGAGTCGCGAGCGACTAGATTGCCGTGCGGCATAATACCGAAGCAAGGAATAAAATTTCTTTTTCAATTACGAGCCGCGAAACTCTCTGTCCGGCCATTATCACCGCGCGTGATACCTCGTTAAAACGTATCCGGAAGGTCAATCGTTTTATAATGCAAAAGGAAAGAGAGGGACAAGAGAGAGGGAGAGAGAGAGAGAGAGAGAGAAAGAGAGAGAAAGAAAGAAAGCAGGGGATTGGAGATGTATCGCGGTTAGGGTCGATGTATGCATTCTACACGTGGCTGTCTCTGGTCGTAGCTGCGCGTGCACCGATGTTTCGGTGCACCGCGTATCCTATACGCCGTGATTTCATTTTATTCGACGCGTATGTATATGCAGGGAAAAAGAAAGGAAGAGAAAAGGTGCGATAGAAACGCGCGACTCGACCGTGTTGTGTGCTGCTACACACGCACGGTCTCGCGTGCGCGCGCACGCATACATTCGCGCACACGCGCACTGGTAGCATCACTTCACTGATGATATACCCTACCGAGAGTTCATTGCTCTTGAGGTGCAACGGAGAACGACGAGGATTCGCGCGAGAACGTCGGAAAGAGAAGGAGAAACGGAGAGGGAGACGCGAACTGGCATTGGCACGATGGAGAGAGACAAAAACGGAGACGCACAGCACGGAAGACGAAAGGGAACGAGCGAAAGAGACTAACCGATGGTACGAACAAGACACTGTCAAGGAGCTCTGAAAAGTCGAAGGAAGGGCGGAGAAAGACGGATCGAGAAGTATGTATTTACCACACGTCTCGGCGACTTTTAATAATTCACACGCGATTCCCAGCGCACCGTTCCGAGTCAAGACCACACCACTCTCGATGTTTTCGTTTTCTCTGGTCGCACGCACATGTTCGGAGGAAATGGCAAGGCCGGTAGGAAGCGATTGGGTTAAACGCTCTTCTAACGAATGTCCGTCGGCGAGTATCGGTTTCGTGCTAACGTAACGACACGTTACGCTTTATATCCGTACGTGGTCAAACTGCGTGCTGTTCGCGAGACATCGGCTACGATCGTAACCTCGTAAGTACAAACCGCCTCCAGAGCATCTCCCTCGGCTGGTCGATGATAGTAATCGTCGTTAATCACGAGCCAACTGGCATAAAACAATTAAATTCGCGTACCCGACGAGCTCTTATAGGTACTTCTGATAAGTTATACTTCTCAGTTTTCTCAACAGCCGCACCGCCTGTTCTTCGCCTGTGCAATTCCCAAAGCCCAAGATAAATTCACTTTTAAAGCACGCTTCACTTTGAAATATCGAATCATCGGGCGGGACAAATCAAAATGACATTGAGTCGATCGAAAAATCGGAAAATATTGGACGCGGACGCTCGTTGAGCGTACCGACTCGAGCTTGTACCGGACACGTACCGGGTGCAATGTACCTGGATGAGTCACACGGTAACAGCGCACACATTCGCGTACGCACATGCGTCTCCACGCGCGATTCGCGCTCGTGTGCGCGCGCGTCTTTCGTCCTTGTCTTTCTCACTCGGTCGCGGCGGCGCGGCGTTCCTCGTTACTCGTAACACGCCAGAAAGAAACGAAGAAACGCGGTAACTTGCGCGCGATACGCGCTACGAACAGAGACGGGGAACGGGGCAACGAGCAAGATGGAAGATAAAAATCCAATCATTTCGACCGGTTTTGCATCGTGCCGACGAGGATAATGGAATACCGCGTCACTTTTTGCCGGTGCACAGAATATTTCCTCGCGTTAATATCCGCGCGTTCTACCCCGGCTCCTCTCCTCGTATCTGCGCCAGGTACGTACCTAATCGTGGTATACACCGCGCATTTGGCGCCCCTTACGTGACTGGCGCCAATCAGGTTAAGCTATTTCTAACTTTTGCGGAAACAACTTTGATTCGTTTCTTCGTTTTCCTTTTTCCTTTGGCTAATTATGAAGTTTTCGTAATTATGACGTTATTTTCCTTCGTTTAGTCAGAAAATTTGCTAACTAAACTATGTGCAACTATCTGTAATTATAAATACTTAATGTTACAGCGTAATATATAACTGTATCCAATAAATTTAATACGATATCGTAATAAGTCAATAGGTATAGAAAATTTATATAGCATACAAATAATATAAGAAGCTAAAAACATATTACAGTTAGCTATAACTTATAACATGTCTCATATATTCAATAAGTTAAAAATCGGGACGGCGATTACGAGTGTTTATTCCTTTAACGTAGATAATTAAAAGCATATTTTATGTAATTGTCACTGATGTTAACTAACCATAGAGTCCAATACCAATTGGCCAGTAGAAACGAATGGATAAAAATCACAGAATTATGTAAACACGTGAAACTACGTAAGTGTCAAAAACTGGTAGCTATAAGGCTTCAGGGCAAGGAAATGATGCGATAACCTGTCGAATGCGGATAGAAAGTTCAATTCGTACGAGACGAACAAATTAGTCCCGCGGAAATTATTTTTAGACACAGAAACTAGCATAGTGGTAGTTCCAGACTGACTCGATTAAAAGCGAGTACGCGAGTCAGCTTTCGTCGCCCTTTTCCTTCTTGACAAGCAAAATATAGCTTTAGAAAAACACGGTTCGCCACGAAACAACATGTGTGCGATCGTTTCGAATTCTTATGGCAACCATAAATTTTAACGAGATTCTGTCACTTTTTCTGCAGGAAAACTGGATTATATCAAAGGATAAACGACGAGTATACGGGCGTGTAAAAAATCCGGAAACGTATCGAAAAGGTGAACGCCATACGAAGACAAGAAACGAGTATCTGGTTGCATGAATATTAATAAAGCACGTTAACTCGACACACGACTCTGTCGTGCTTATATTACACTCGGAAGTATCCGGCAATTATTCAAAACCAATGACCACGTTGAAGAGATCCTTCTGAGTAGCCGGTCATTTGTATGAGAGTTCGACGTTTTGAACGATCAAGCGAGTGAAATAAAAAATGCAATTTTTTTCAGATATCTGACAGCTTTTAAACTTTGTCTCCCAAGAGATGTTTTTTTGATGATGATTTGTCCAAAATGTTCTGTAATTATGTAAGCTTGGAACTGTTACATTGTTACGGTATATGGATTTAAGAGTGTATCATTTCGATCAAAGATCGCTTTCTCTCGTCGAAATAAATTAAATTCATCGACACATATGAATTTTAAAGGCGATTGTGAAAGAAAACATAGGAAAAGATTGGGAAAAATTTTGAACAGAGAAGAACGTCTCCTTAATATTTATATGTTTTACATTTTTAACACAATTATTGTCGCAGAATTTCCAAATTTAATCTCACCTATCAACACATGTACAGTTCCTTAATTAATTAACATAAACTCGACTCATTCTGATTATCATCAACTTACTTAAATTTCCAAGAAATATCGTATAACAGTAATTTACGCGCAAATGTCTCCATCGTGAAGATCCTTGGGCTTAACAAGAAGGTTCTATCTAGTCCACAAGAATTTATTAAGCAGTTAAAAATAAATGATAAAAAGATGAAAAAAGGAAGAGGAATGAAAAGATGAAATGAGAAAGAAGGCGGTCAAAGAAACACATCGAGAGACTGCTAAAACGGTGTTGCGTAATCCTTTGGATTTAGTTTACTTTCGTCGGAGTCGATGCCACGCACGTAGCGTGACCGTGGCACTGAACCAGCGGCACGAACTTTCTCGTGGCCTTCGTTCCAGGAAGACGATTTACGTGACATGAACAGGACGCCAATGACTGCGAACGGTCATCGACGGTCCGAGCATCGCCTCTCCATTCGTCAGATCGTCGTGAATACATGTCGATTTCGAATCGATTATCGCTGTCGAACCTGGAGGAATCGAGTCCTGGTGAAACGAATTTTTTAGAACGCGATGATACAAGCATTGCGCAATAACATAAAAATAGAAAAGATATATATATCGAAGCTAGGTGTAACTAATAATAAAACTCCGCTCTATCATAGGTTACTGACCCATCTACGTTTTTTATATAACTTTGTATTCTTATGTTTCTTCCAGGCAGGAAAATTCTTTTCTTTCTATTTTAGCGCAGGTGATTTATCCATAAGAATTTATTTAGCAACCTTAAATCGATATGACTTGCTACATGTTATTTCTTATAAACACAATTTATTTAAGAGCAACAACCGAATGATAGTGAATCTTCGCAGAGATGTACGAAATTGTTAGTAGATCGAGGATGTTTGTGTAAATATTATTAGAAACGCAAGTAAAACAACGTTTGTTTCGAAACAAGACAAAAGGATTTGTTTTATTCACGAAGGGTAGCATACTCTTGATATTTTATATATTTTTGCATATTACCCGTATAATGTGCAATTTTGCATCTTTATGTTATAAATGTACAACTATTCACAGAGTAATTTAATTTACGACGATAGATAACAATTTCTTATATGTCAAAATTTACGTCGCTCCATTCCCATTTTCTTTACATCGATTCTACAATTACCTCGCAATACAATGATCGATAGATAGCCACGCAAAATATCGTACACAGAGCGAAGAAAACTTTTCTGCCTCATAATTCACCATCAGTCAATAAAACTCAATCACTCCATCAAATAAACAGGCAGGAAAAGAGATCTATCAAACAGACGAACATTAATATCATCCGTTCTATTCTACTTCCCTTCGAATACCACCAAACCCTCAGGTGCCAAGCTTCGTTTGACTTTTAACAAAACCCAAGATGCTGCTTTCGTTCTCGCGAGCAGTTCGCAACGATTTAAAAAGAGTACCGCGGGATGATTAAGCGAACTGTCGATCCTCGACGAAAGTTCGTTGTTTTTAAAGTACCTGGTGAACCTTCTTGCAAAGTTTGAGCGAGAAAAAATTGCGTGAACGACAGCGGAGCGGGCGAATTATGCGGATGGACGTGCGCAAAGGTAAAATGCGTCATCGTGCTTTCACGAGAATTCCCTTGGACCCTAGCGGGATGACAGGTCGAGAAATATTCAGGAGTCTGTTCCTTGAGCATCAAGAAAGTTATCGACAGCGAATGACACGAGCGTAGAAGCATCGAGGAAAAAGGAAATTCCTCGCGACGATTCGTCGCGTACTAACGCATCTCCCTTCAGGGAACTGTTCTAAATAGATTCAGTCGTGACAAACCTTGACCGCATCGAGATTGAAATTCAAAGTTGGATTTTCGGGAACCATCGTATCAAATCGACGCCGCAGTCCTTTTAGACGAATGTATAATTTAAATGGCGACTTCCACCGTGGTCCTCGACATCTCTCGACGCTTCTCATGCTTAACGAAAAGGTAGTTACCTAGTGATGTTGAAAGAATCGCGGTCTGATCGTATTAGACACTGGATATAGTATCTCTTCTCTTGAGAATTTTCATAGCTTCTGATAGTAGTTTTCGATATTTTGGGACGCGCTGTAGCAAAGTTCATAACATTATCGTTAGACTGCGGGTTTCTATGGATTTATGAAGGATTAAAAGATAAGTATAACATACAGACGCACGTAAAACATTTGAAGTATCTTAATCTCGTTAATATTGGAAACTATGCTTGGATTTCGTTTCTCTAGCTGTGTTTATAAAAGTTTCCACTTGCATAAACACAATGGGGTTGGATGATTAGAGTACTTACGGTGCACGAGAAATATATCTAAAAATTGATCGCATTATAAAAATCAAACCACGGTCCAGTATTAGCTAAACATTAGCGTAATTAACATTTGAACGTATATAATGTTTCATTCGATAATGCATATCCCTAAATTGTTCTAATGCTGATCTTGTTGTCGCGATGTCTCAACTTTTAATTGTCACATAAGGGTAGATGCATGTAACTCGTATTATTCCTTCAAAGTGTCACGTCTCAGGTTGTTTGAAACTTTACGCAGCTTGTCCTCGGTCGGTTATATGTCGGATGACGCGCAAGAAATTTGAATCGTTTGCAAACGACCAGACAAACGTATTATTTTCTCGGAATATTTTATATCGCTTTTGTAACAAGTTCTCTCCGCTTTCAATCTATTCGTTCTAAATATAAGTTTATTAGGTAATTACAACGCTTTTGTCCTAGTAAATGCTTAGCTCGGTTATAAAGCCAATTTTTACAGACACTTTAAAATCGACGATCTTATATCAAACCAACGAGATACGTACGTTTCGAAGTACAAATATTTCCAAATATTATCCACATCGTTCGATATTTACGATTATATCTAAAATAAAATAACTCTAAGAAAACAACAATCGTCTTTCTCTGATTCTAATAAATTTTTTCCTAAAAAATGTTAGATACAATCAAACAGTCGGCCCAGCTTTCTCTTCTGCCCCTTTCGCCACGACGACGCTGATCGGTACGATTTTCGTATTTTCCCAAGCGAAGATGTTCGCGGCAAAAGGGCAACGAATCTGCATTACACGAGACCCTAATTGTAAGAAGAAAACGTGTATCTCTCTACCGTGCACTGTTGATTCGCGAGTGAAATGTCAGCCCCCGTTCTCTTTGCAAATAGAGAGCGGCAAAGAGAGAAAGAGAAAAGGAGAGACGGGGGTTGGGCTGGATTCACAAGGAGGATCGTACGAAACCAGTTTTCGATCCGATATTTCCTTCAGACAATGGGAACGCTCGAAGAAAACTCAATTGAAAGAGAAATCGGTAGGACGGTGGTAGCCAACCAGAGCTTCGTGGATTTATATTGTAGCCTGATAGCATTGTGCTCGCCTCGAAACGAATCGCGAGTATTGCAAACCACTCGGCGACCTTTCCAATTTGTATCGTAACCTTTACAGAACCATCTAAGAAGAGGGAACGATGGAAGCGACAGATAAACATGGCGAATCAGAATTGTAAAATAAGCAACGGTATTATTAAAACAATTGAAAGTTTCGTGAGGGCCAAGAGATATCAATGTCGGTCTCGAGGCTTCTTCGTTTGGGAGAGTTTCGAACGAACCTGGCGTGTTCTCTTTGCTACTGGGCCAAATGTTTAAATTACAAGACTTTGGATCCAACTTTAATCGTCAATGAGATAAGTGTTTGATCTGTGAGACTTACATATTATCGACAATGAGTAGGAATTCAAGATAGATAAAACCAATTTCCCTCGCGTGTCCTTAAATATTCTCCAGATCCTCGTTTAAGATTGAGAGATCGCGGTCGAGACCAACCAAGTAAAATATTTCAAGACGTTTCAAGTAATTTCAGACGCAAGTGTCATAAATTCAATGGAAATGAACACATAAATACGATACGGACATTAGCGATCTTCTATGGATATAGAGCGATATAAATCATCTGCTGAACAACAATACACTGAAATAGCCTGTAAAAAAGTAACGTCTAAATCGCTTTGAAGCAACAGCGTATAAGTTGGTCAGTTTTTTTACCTGTACGATCATGGACCGTAAAATTGAATCAATCAATTACAACTTTCATCATCGCGTAATGAAATGCCAGGTACGCGAGCGACGCGCCAATTTTTTCCTCCGCTCGCTTTCATAACGCCCATATCCACGCGGCGTTACTAAACCGTGCGAGAAACCGTAACAAAGGCACGCGTCTTGCAAAACATCATCGCTTAAACTTTAAACAATGCTTCTCCTTTCAACGGCATACCATAAAATATCACCGGATAACAATATCGTAACGTAAATTCATTCTATTTTTATAGTTCGTACTTCGACTAGGAGGTGATTGTACGTGAAAAGGATAAGTCAAAAACAATTGTACGATTAAATCTTTTCGTACAATGTTTCTCGATTTATTTAAACACATAGAATCACACACCTTCTTGCCGATTGTATCGCGATCGCCGTACGAAATAACGAAACGGCTATATACGGTTGTTCGCGGAAACATCTGAACATTTGCAGAAACCTTTTACGAATATATCGCGTGTACTGTATGAAATATTTTGCAGTTTTATCAACATCGTAACAACGCTCGACGATCATCGGTTACGTTTGGAAATTTGAAATTTAAAAATGTACATAGAAACTGCAGCATAGTCGATGGCTAAATAGCTACGTATTTCACAGAGATCATAAAACAAGCAATTGTTCAGTAGATAAGCCTTAAAATTTAGTGCGTCCATTTCTAACGCTTACTATACGCTCAAG